CATCACTTTATCCCCAACCCATCAAAAGCCCAATTCCCATTCCCAATCAGCCCTCCAAGCATACCTCTTCGAACCCTTCTCAACAAGAAACAAAACAAGAGCTGACCATCCCCCCACAGAAACAGAGACCGACCACGAGAAGCACAAGCAAGACTCCCTGCACAAGCAAAAGCAGGGCAAGGGCCACTGGAAGCCCGAGCTCGCGTCCGACAGCGAGGAGGCCGTCAAGGCGGACCGCAACACCGAGGGCGTCGACCCCAAGACGCTGGCGGAGCGCACCAAGAAGGCTGCCGAGGAGACGAGCAAGGCCGGTACGAGCATGCGCGACGGGTTGTAAAGACGTCGTTGAGGGAGATGGATGTTTTGTTTGCTTATTTGCTTTTTGTGATTCCAGCTTGAACTCTTTGTCACATGGCACCTGACCTCCGAAAGGGGCGATGACTTTTGATTGCCTCGCATCCCATGCCACGCGCGCAACGGCGAACAGGACGAGACGCATAGAGTGTACAGAACCACGTGTGGGAGACGGCTGTATGGGATCGCTGGGCTTCTTATGAAAAGATTACATGCGGATGAGGACGGGGTTCTCGGGCCGGAGTAATTGTATGCATGTTAGGCCTGGGTCTGGAATTGATCAGTTCGAACGACGCTACATGATGTGCTTGGTGATGTTTGTACTTGCACCGAGTTCTTCAAGGGTCTGGGCACGCTCAATTCACAGCTCGCCCTTCACCAGCGTTGAACTTCTATAGTCGACGGCTCGGGCTCACACAGAGGCCAGCTGTATAAGTCAGCGTACACGATGATAAGCTAAGTCGAGGACCGATTCGTTGTCGTAGAAAAATATTGCCCTGACAAACAACGCCAAGCACGGTTGCCAGGGTGCTAGAAGCTATCACCGCAAGTCAATGCCACAAGGATGAGTCTCAACTCCAACAGCTCTCCGCTCCGCAGCCCTGGTGTATGAAGCTGGGATACACAAGCAGCAAGTCCAGTGACTGACGGCAGCCATGTCGAGCCAGATCTGCGTTCCTCAAAGGGAAGGGATACTGGCCGTCCTCCAGTGGAGTTTCACTAGTTCTTGACACAGCACGTGAAGGGTTCGACGTGGCGTATCTCGTATGGATCGTACATCATGATGTGATTAGCCGCAACTTTTATATCTCCTTCCATCAAGACGTTAGCGCATTTGTTTCTTTCTATAAGTATGTTAAGTCCCCTGACGGAAGATTAACTGGCCAGACGACGACAATGAACCTAATGGGCTTGTGATGTCTCCTCTCTGCATCGTGGCACGTAACCTTTGAATTCCTCAGCTTTGGGAAGCTGCCATCTCAAGCCCGTCCCAACTTCTCTTGTGCATCGTCCGTCGGCTGTGGTATCTCCGGTGTATTTCTGTAATATACTTTCAAGTTAGGTGTCAGGCTTGTCGAACAGTTCAACTTCAGCGAGTAGACTCCCTCCCACAACCACGCGTCTTTCCTAACAACTGCAAAACTGACCATGCTAAGAGAGTCAATTGTCGGCTCAAACCAAAACCCGTGTCTTTCGATGGGCTTTTATACCTCGTAGGCCGCTGGGGCCGCTGTCCAGTATGACCTCACTATTCGATGAGTCCAAAAGTCTTGCTGTTCAATCCACCCAAGCTGGGACTCAATCCACAGGCACTATAAAGCCTTACCGGAAGCACCCAGCCAAGCCTTCAGCAAACAATGTAGACACCTCTGAGCGAGTGTTCGTCTAGAGCCTTCAGAAAGCGAGTCCTTCGTCGCACAGCTGTGAGCTACGTTCCAGGATCGTGTCTGAAACCCAACGGTGGGCTCAAGTGCAACCCTCGTCGCTTTCTTCTTCTTCTTCTTTTTATTCTCTGTGCATACGCGAATGCTTCTTGTCTCTTCCTATGTCTACCATAACAGACCTGCAGGTCCTCGTGCCGGGAGGAAGGGGATGTCCCGCATCGAGATATTCGCCAGATCTTTCGATTCACCAACGGCGCCTACATCGCTCAGAAGATTACAATTGTAAATCCACAGGTGTTTAATGCATAGCCAGATTTTATCATGTGAGGTGTGCGAGGGGCTACTCCCCAACCATTCTCATCGCATGGCCTCCGGCATTTACACTTGGCAACGTCGAGTCTATATCTTGAGGTTTGCCAAACTAGAACGTGTTCATCCAAGCCAAATAGGGAAGTCCTGCTGTTGTGTTGTAAATTGCTGGTTGACAATGACTTTAACTTTGGCCATCATGTCAATCATGGTTGGGACACACGCCAACCACGAAACTGGCAACGCGGCTCCGTCCGTCGCCGTCATCTCCGTCGAGCTAGTATTATGTCTTCAGAGTTTCAGAGCCCTGTGCACACAGCTCACGTTTTTTTCTTGAGACTTCTTTTTCTTTTGATTATAGATTGACATGCCGCGTAAGACACCTTGGTCATCACCACGCAATGTGGTCTATATTCCAAACATTTCTGGCCCTTCCGTTGTCTCCAAACAGATGCTTGTTTATAGATCTCCCTAGGGAAGAGCATACGCATGTCAGAATCATAAAGCTGGAGCTCTTTCAGGTATGTCTGTTCCCCCAAACATATGTATAACTATATATATACATTCTTCTTTTGTGGACAATGTATTTTCTAGCAAGACGAGGACAATGTTTCCTACGCCTCCGTTTGCAGAACTTCTGGACAGGGCATCCATTAGATGCAAAGAACCAAATTTGGGTCGGGAGTCTTTGCAGGAAATCTTCTCAGACGATGTGTGTCTTCTTTCTGTCGTCCTTGATCGTCCATTACTGTTACTCCAGTGAAAATGAGCGCTATGCTTCGAAGTCGTGAAAACCCCCTGACTCGGAAGGAGTGAGGACGCCCTGGTGCTCACAAGCGGTGCTGTTCGTGTCTTAGTGCCTTAACGACAAGTTCAAAGAGTGTATGTTTTTGAAAAGCTATTGTGTCATGAAAAGCTTTGCATAATTTTGACACTATTTTATAGTCTGGACACTGGTACAGGCGCCCTCTCGTTAGTGCAGGCTGCTCGCAGCATACATGAAGTATTTGAGTCTTTCTATGTCTCCAGCACGCCGAGGAGGAATAACGGCCCTCATGCAAACAATCAGAGCTCCATCGTTTGAGAAAGTATGTATAAAAATCTCGCCATCCCACACACAATGTATCAGCAGAGATAGAAAGCACCATCGGAGCTGGTTGAACAATGCTTTCTGGGACGCGACCTGCATGAGCGCATCAACATGAGGATAGGCGCAATAAGTCCGCCCATGATTTACCAGACTGCTTTGCCAGGAGTCGCGTTTGGCGCCACACCCGTTGTCCGGTCTCGTCATCCTCCTCGTATGTCAATCGCATATTCGCCCAAGATTGCATTTAACTCTAGGAATCATCCGAGTTTCTGAACTCGCCGGCATACCAAAGATACTCCATTCTCATAGCATGAGTTTCTGTTCTCATCTAGGAGAGCTTTAATTCCAGCAGATGCGTTTTTGTTTACCAGATTTGAAAGAGCAGCGGCAAGGCTGGCAAAAGCATCGAGTCCGCTTCTCTCTTGTGTTCGTGCAATAGACCATGGAAGCACTCTACCCACAACCTCCGTCCGCTAGTGTGGGAGTATATATTGGTTCAATTGCATGAAACAGTCAGCTCTTCAGGCAATGTAGCCCCCTGCTTTAGTTGTCGATTGAAGCTTCATTTGTGAAGAAACCCTGTCCTGTCACAACAACAATCATAGCAGTTTCCTCCTGCACAGGGGTGTCTAAATCTAGCCCGCAATACTAATCCCATATGAATACGTATCATCAAGATAGATCCCAGGGATGGTCGGCGACGCCAGCCAGGTTGGATGGAACCAATTGAATATGACGCATCGGGGGCGGGAGGCCAAGAGACATCGTGAAGGGCAGTTATCGATGTTGAATGGAAGGCAATCTCCATCCCCAGAGCCATCATTATTTGCCTGCTGTATGATTCCACATGTACGAAGTATGATGCCGTATTCATATTGGCCAGGATATCAGAATGCCTGCTTTGGGGATCCAGACCGCCCAAGTTGCTATGCGAGCACTCTCAAGTCATGACTGGACGTCTTTGCGGAGCCTAAGTGGTGCTGATGAAAGTCACTGCATAGCGCAGAAAGTTCTTCACTGAAACCTCATAAAAGTCGAGAGATTCCTTCAGAATCTTTGTCAAAGCGCCAATGAGGTGTTTCCACTCAACTTTCGCTTTTATCCCAGCACACGCTCTGCCACCAAGTACAGAGACTCCATGGTCCGTGTTTTCTCAACCATGGCCATTCAAGATGCTGTCAAGGTACGGGGAATATGCGAATACCTTCAGAATAAGAAGATATCAGTACTGGACGGCGACAGTAACAATTCGAGACGAGGTTCATCGAAGCAACCGGTCTCAAGGCCATTTCTTCCTTGATGAGCGGGATCTCTCCAGTATTCCAATTGCGCGAAGAGCCTTATCTTTCAGAAACTCGTTTGTCCCTGTGGAAGAGAGTAGGCAGCCATTGCGTAGACTTATATAGTCGGTTTGTCTGGTACCAGTCTAAGAGTAAGGCTTCGTGCGATGACCAGCAGGATTGTCCACCACGTTCCTAAATCTACTGTCAACCCCCGTCAAGACTCACGACTTGGTTCGATATCAGACCAGACTTCCATACTACACGCTCTTCAAGATGTGACAGTCAACACTCGAATCAATGCCATTTTTTCCGTCCTCTACGCCAGAGCTTGAACTCCCCTCCTTATAATCCACGCTACATTCTCCATAAATGCGAACCCGCCCGCCCAACGTCGCCAGACGCCGCCATGGGGTTACGCCCGTATAATTAGACAACAAAAACCATCATGCCAAAACGCCAGGTATGACCGCCCGCTCCCCAGGCGATCCCCACATATCCCTATGAGGTGATGTGTGATTCAGGGGTAAAACAGCATAACCCCCTATCTTACGCCCCAAAATCTCGCCTCTTCCACCACACTCACATCTTCAAGTTATACGTCCCCGCCAGCTTCGGAAACGTCTGATGAAACGCCTGCCCCAGCGTCCAATTCTCAATCCTCCTCAAATGCCTCTCAAACACGGGGTTAATCACCACCTCGTCCGACTCCGGCACCTGCAGCAGCGTATCCGTGTCCTCATACCCCCAATTCAGACTCAGCGTCGTCGTGAACGGCACGAAGAAGTTGTCAAACAGGTACTCGCGCGGGTTGTAGTCGCGGCACAGCTTCTCGCGCATCGCGGGGAAGGGCACGTGGTCGATCCAGGCCGGATGCTCCGTGAACAGTTGCGACGGCCGCGGGCGCACCCAGTCGGGCAGCCGCTCAAAGTTTTCTTGTGTGGGCGAGATCTGCCAGCGCATGATGAGGAACATGATGTACAGCACGGCGACGCGCTGCGGCAGCGCCGAGAGGTCCGGGAAGGTGGCCAGGATGTCGGTGAAGACCTTGGACAGCGGGTGCGAGAACTTGCTGTTGGCCGGGTTGAGCAGCGAGAGAACGGAGGGGTAGCGTGGGCCGATGACCTCGTGCGCGGAGAGGCCGTCGGCGGCGCGCTGGCGGCGCTCGTGCAGGAAGTCGAGGAGGAGCGAGTCGAGCGGGCAGGTGGGGCCGCAGTTCTTCACCTCGGCGGAGTAGCTCGCGAGGGCGCGGGAGGGCTCGGACGGCGCGGAGGACGGGGTGGACTGCGCGGGGCCGTAGTCCATCTGGGAGGAGCGCGGGGTGTGGACGGTGGCGCTGGCGTTGGCGTTGTTGGCGTTGTTCGCGGAGGTGGAGGGGCCGGAGAGGGAGGGGCTGCGGGAGTGGGAGACGGGGCCGACGCCGGTCCAGTCGTGCTTCATGGGGACGTGGTGGTAGTGCGGGGAGTCCTGGGCGCCGTTGGGGCCGCTCTGGATCTTGCCGAGGCGGGCGTTGGAGTCGAGGAGGAAGTCGAGGCCGAGACGCTCCGGGCCGAGGTCGAGGCCGTGGCGGAGGTCCTGGCGCTGCTGGTTGAGCATCTTGCCGGCGGCGTACATGTGGTTCGGGGGCGAGAGGTCCGGGACGCCGCCGCCGCCGCCGGAAGTCTGCCAGTTTGCGGTGGGGTCCAGGGAGGCGGGCGAGGCGGCGCTATTGGGCGTCGAGGCGTTGTTGGCGGACATGGGCCCGTTTGGGTGGTGGACCGGGTGGGAGTAGCTTCCGGATGGAGAAGGGAAGACCACAGGGTCTGGCGGTTCTGCGGGTTTCTCGGTTAGGACCGTGCCGTAATACGCAGGGGGAGAGGGAGGGCTTACGTTGGACCGCTGGTGTGGATGAGATCAGCGGTTGGATGGAGGTGATGAAGGCCTGCAGGCGGCGTTTGAGGTCCGCATTCTCCGCCTCGACGGCCTCCTTGGCGCGCAAGACGGCCTGGAGTTCTTGGTAGGGCTGCTGGGAGGTGAGCTCCTGGATGCGGCGCTCCAGCGTCTCGATCTGGTTCTTCGTGCGTTCGCGGATGGCTCGCTGGGCCTCCCTGTCGTTGGCACGCTTCTTGGCCAGCTGCTCCGGCGTCAGGTTCGCGACGCCCCTGGACCCGGGGCCGGTCTTACGCTTCTTGCCCGTCTCGGCGGGCGGTTGCGACGCCGGCGAGGTCCCGGGCCCGGCCCCGCCGGTCGGGGTGCCCGAGTCCGCGGCGTGTCCTCCATGTCCGCCGGCGGGGCTGTAATGCGAGTCCGGGACGCTGCGCTTGTTGTTGCTGTTCAGGAGGGTGGTGGTTACCGACGAGGCCACGGAGCCGGCGGGACTGGGGTGGGAGACGGCATCGGGGGCCATATGAGAAGTCGGACACGGAGCCGGTGCAAGCAAGCACAGGTGGGTTCCCCGGGAATAGTAAGCCGCGTCCGAAAGGGAGGGGGGTTCACCCTGCGGTACCCGTACCCGTAGCCGACTCAGGTCAAGCTCCGCTCTCGGTCAGGGAGCCGGTCTTGGCCGTGATCGCGCGACGGCGGTGACGGCCGTGAGGCATAGAGTACTTATCCCGCAGTTGTGGAGTCCAGAGCAGGAAACGAAATGCGGCGATTGGTACCGGGGGGTAAGGGGTTGATTACCGCCGTGTAGGCGGGATGGTTGCTTAACAAAAGAAAGAAAATCCGGGGCCCCTGGATACCTTCTTCCTGGCTTTTTTGCGGCTCCCTTGTTCTGGTGGCCGCCGCAGGAAACCAAACAAAACACCACACTCAAACGAACAGGCCCTGGGACCGGCGGTGCGGTGCAGCGCAGCGGAGCAGTGGGCAGCAGGAACGGAACGAAACGAGACAAAAAAAAAAACTAAAAAAAACTTGGTCAAGGTACGACGAGGGGGTGGGAAAATGTGGTAAGGTATGATCTGAGGGGCGGGTTTTCCGGGGGGGTTCGCTAGCTGGCTTGCTGTGCTCTCTCTCTCACTCACTCAACTCACTCTCAGCTCAGCTGCACATCAACTCGCTTGCTTGCTTGGGAGCCTTGGATTGAGCGCAGCAGCAGGCGCGACGGACGGGAACAGGCGAATGGAATGGGGTGATAATGAATCATTCAGAAACCGAGGGACGGCGGCGGAAGGCCAAGATCCCGAGTCATGGCCCAGCTCGGTAAACGGTGCTGATTTGCGCTAGCCTCGGGCATTTCTCGCGTTACTGCAAAATGCGGACAAGGGTTGGTGGGCTTGCGGATCTTTGAAGGAGAGATGGGCCTTCCCTCTTTCTCAACTCTTGGGAACTCCGGATGCAACTGGCCAGATGTTTAAACAAATTCAATTTTTTTTGTTTCTAATCTTTCCGCTCTCTTCCAGCTTCCCCCCCTCCACCCTCGTGATTCCCAGACATCAGCTAAAATTCGAGGGCGGGGGAGACGAAAACTCAAAAAAGATGGTTTGGGTTAGAGTTTGTACAGACAGAGCATAGGTAGGCAGCTGGAACAACGCGACCTTCCTTAGCAGTACCTACAACAGCTTGTGTGTGCTTCGCAGTCGTACAAGTGGCATCAGCTCGACGCCCATAGCGCGAAAACGACACACACACAGCTGCAGAACGTGCCAGGAACTTGCCGGTTCATGCGGTTTGTTCGCTGTCAGGACCGGACTGACTGACTTGTCCGTTTCCTCGTTTTCGCGGGAAACAGGCGGTCAAGACTCGACAGCGCAAGATGGAGCAAGAAAGGGGGAAGACTCAAGAGAGCATTATGCACAGACTTTCATCTGAATTGTGCAGGTCAAGACCAGCTTTATGCAAACATCTTCGACGCTCATCTAGAAAGAGAATCAAGTTAGAGACATCTGAGAGGGTGGTGGCGTCGGGATGGAAGCTCCGTCGTAGGGCGCGGAGCCGTCCTATCACAAGCTTCTCCTTGCAGTAGTGTCTCACATATGACTGACCCTGAACAAAGGAGCACGGGAAGCCAAAGGAAAAACCATTGTTATTCTAGACCAGCAGCCTTAAATACTAATCCGCCGAGCGTTCGAGCCAAAGCCAGCCCCCGCCAACCTGGGTATCCATTCAAAGCCATTATCGTTATCGTCAAACATCGTCATCTTACTCCGAACTCCCTCCACCCAAAAACACCAGAATCACACGGCACGACAACATCATGCCTTGACCGCTTCCACGAAGAGCTCCCGCATGCCCTTCAGCAGCACCGCGAGCTCTCTCGTCTCGTTGAGCTGGTCCAGCACCTTCTCCACGCGCTCGCGCTCCAGCTTGGGCCTGCAGTGCCGGATATCGTAGTCCCTGCTCGACGTCGAGAGCTCGAACCACGCCTCCCTGTCCCAGTCCTCGCTGTCGATGTAGCTGTAGATGAACTTGAGCCGGTCGTCCTGGCCCGCGCCCTCTATCCGCAGGCCGAGGTTCTGCTGCCAAAACTCGAGCTCGGGAACGTTGAATCGCGACTGCGCGTCCAGCTGCGCCGCGTGCGCGCGCTGCGCCGCGACCTTCGCGTCGATCTCCTTCTGCGTCTCCTCGATCTGCTTCTTCAGCGCGTCTCGTGTGGCCAGGTGCTTGTCGCGCTCCTCCGACAGCTGGGCGATGGCGGCCTGCATCTCGCGCGTCTCGGCCTTTTCCTTCTGGACGGTTTGTTGGTGTGTGCTCGTCTTGTGCTGGAGAATCTCAATGTCCTTCTTCTTCATGCGCTGGTCCTCTGTGATACGGTCAGTCAGCATCGTTTGGGCATCGATACTGCGGGAATGCTGGCGCGACCCGACGTACCTTGAAGTTCGGCAATGTTCATGCGAAACTCGTTCCTCTCCTCCAACACGCGCTTGCGCCCTTGCTCGATAAACCCGTCGAATCGCGAAGAGAATTTGTTCATGCGGTCACGCAGCTCGTCGAAGCCGAAGTTCGCATTCGGGAGGGTGTCGGCGACCGATGGGGTTGCCATCAGGGACTGGCGGTTGATGCTCGCGGAGAGCGAAGATTCGAATGCCGACGACATGGTGGCTTCTGGATAGTGCTGTGCTGTGCAAATTGTATAATCGTTTCGAAGCGACGTGAGGATAGGCTGGCAGCCTTCTGCAATCGCAATCGCATGTGACGGAAGAACGGGGTTAGGTGGGCTTGGGAAGCGGGAGGATATTTTTGGTGTTTATGTCACGCGTTGCTATGTCAACAATCTGGCAGGTGCCAGAAGGGCTGCTGACTAACACTCTTGCTGACTTATCCACCCAGCCCCTGAACAGTTCAATCGCCTCCTTGGATAACATCTTCCGGCAGGATGCCGTTGATGCTGCTTCTTGGAATGATCGAATGGCCTACTTGTTGCTGGTTGATGTCCCAATCCGGCTCGTTCCCTGACTGAAGCTAAGGGGGGTTTGTTTGGGAGTAAGTACGGGACTCAAGTCCGGGACCGGCCCCGCTTTCGGCTTCCCAAGCCGGACTTCTTGAACCCATCGTGATAAAAATGCTCTAATGTCAAACATTCAGAGGCGTCGATTGTTTGGGATCAGGCAAAATTTTGAGGGAGGGAAACTGCTTCTTCCAGGTTATTTTTGCTCCTCCTTTGAGCTCACTCGGTCAGAGAAGGCTTTATATCTCTCCAAGCTTTCCTTGGGCCAGTATTCTTCCATGGGCCCGTACTCCTCAAACACCACATCCCCCTCCGGAATATCAAACCACCTGTGCCGCCTACTCCCACCTCCCGCAAATATATGCGCATGCGGTCTCAACCCTCCCGACGGAACATACTTCTCCCCATCCACAAACCCATCAATCGTTCCCACCCGCACAATCTTCAGCAGGCTCCTCGTCGTCCCCGAGTAATGGCTCCACAGCACCGTAAAGCACTCCGGACACCGCACCATAACCTGCCCCTCTGGCCCCGACGTCGCGGTCGGGATGCCTTTCCGCAAAAGCCGCGCCTCGGCCCCCTCGCCGCTTTCGCCGGTTGACAGAGTCGTGTGCACGCGGTCCGGCTCGTACAGCGCGTTGAGCGCGAATGAGGTGCCCGTCTCCCGCTGGCAGTACGTGCAGTGGCATGCGTGGACGATGAGCGGGGATGAGGAGAGGGTGTAGCGGACGTGGGAGCAGGCGCAACGGCCTGTCAGAGGGCTCTCGTTTGGGCTCCTGATCCACGGTCAATTGGGAGAAGATTCCCGGAGCGAATATGAGCATTACTCACCCCATGGCTGGAATTTCGAAGAGATTTCAAGGTTACATGTTTTGCGAATTGACAACTGAGATTGCTTGGAATAAGTAGGGAGCTGTTTTCTTTGCAGGTGAGCATGCCAACCGAGATGCATATTGCGTCATTCCTATCCGTGGGGAAACACAACAGCAGCTCCGGCAAGGGTACCTTTAAACTGACGTTTCCTCTCCTTACATGAAGCCAATCTGCTAGACCTCTTATACGACTCGCGGACAATTCTATAAACACCAGGTTCATGATCAAAGAAGACATGGAGGAAGACAATACCTCAGATCACACAGGCATGAAAAGGCGCATAATGATCAACCTGAACATAGGTAAGAAAACTTTAGATCAAGTACTCGCGGTAATTCTTTCAGATAGCGAAAAGTATCCTCTCCAGTTGGGTTCACTCAAGCTTCACACGTCTGATTTACCAAGACCAACGTGAAGTCTTCTATCATTATCATAGCCACTTTGGCAATCATCTAGAGAGGTTCCTCTCGTATTCATACTGGAGCCAACAAATGAAATAACTTTCAATATCTCCATCTTTCTAGACAGCCAGACCACACGAGGGCGGTCCAGTAGCTTACAAGATGATTGAGAACAATGCGTTCGCTCTTCAGGGACATGCCTCAGACATCCTGTCATTTGTATCCCTGCTGTGAAAGACTACCGCACCAGATTGCGGGACTGTGAATAAATCTCAAGTCGACACCTCGCGGCCTGAATCACTACAAAGCCCCTAGCCCCGTATAAGAAGGAAAACTCTTTCCCATCGCTGGGGCGACTTTGTTTACGTGCCTTCAATGATAACTGAGATAGATAAAGCAGTCGCTCTTTTGAAAACCCATCCATTATCGTCGAGGTCTCCAAAAGCATCTCCCAAGGGCCTTGTATATTGAGGTAGCCTCAAACCAAGCATCAATCATCACCACAGCTCCCACATCAAAGCAATCCCACACCAATCTTAGGTATTATCGTCTTCTTTCCCCTCCACAGAGGAGTGCTTCACTAACAAAACCGAAATGCAGGTCAACATGGCCGACCCCCACATCATCCTCGAAACCCACCTCTACTCCCTGCCCCCCAACGGCGCTCCCCCTTGGATCCGCAGCTTCCACCTCCGCCTCTGCCCGACCGCCGCCACCAAGGCCGACATCCTCACCCTCGTCCGCAAC